CAGCTGTTCCTTGAGTTTATATCATAAGAGTAACCCTTACAGTGGAAAGTAGAAATCCTTGATTTGGATGTTTTAGAGTTTAGAGTTTTGAAGGATATTGCGGTGTACTGATTTAGGGTTTGGGGATGTAAGACATTCGAGGTGTAGGATCCAAGGCTTAGGCTTCCGACAGTCTCTCAATAATTTTGGGATTCTAACCATATAAATAAAGTTACCAGAACAAGATACTACATTCCAGGATCTCGGTGCAAGGGCCTAATGAATTAGAATAGGGCTTTCGAGCTGGGACCATTGGCGACTATGGGCGATACTACGACAAGTTGTTCCGACCCCCTAACTACATTTACACCTGTTGCAGAGCCCCTAATCGACAAGAGCGAAAGCGAAATTGTAAAGTATCCCGACGCGTCAGGCAGTAGGTAGGATACCGACCCATAAACCCTTGCAAACCACTGCAAGGCCCTAAGTCAAACTTCCGCAACACACAACATCGGGGGAAACAAGATGCCCCGGACCGAAAGCCCCAAACAGCAAAGCCATAAAATTCTATCCCAAATGCCAAACCCAATAAAACCCCAAACCAGCAAGGCCCTGAATCTCTAAACCCGATCCCCTAAACCCCCAAACCCTAAACCCAAAGCCCCTGAACCTCTAAACCCTAAACCCGAACCGCTAAACCCAAAGCCCGTGAACCTCTAAACCCTAAACCCGAACCCCTAAACCCAAAGCCCGTGAACCTCTAAACCCTAAACCGGTCCGCCTTCTGCTTCGCCTCGGTATCGACGCGGCCGGCCTCGGTACACTAAGCAACTTCCGTGCAGAACACCCGTTTCGGCCTCTTGGGACGCTTCTCTTCGGTTTAGCGTTTATAGGGTTAAGGTTTTAGGGCTCAGGGTCTAGGTTTTGAGGTTTAGGGTCTAAGGTGTCGGGTCTAGGGGTTGGGGTTTAGGGTCTAGGGGTTTGGGGTCTAGGGTTTAGGCATCAGTGGTTTAAGGTCTGTGGACTCAGAGACCATACACAGGCAAAATTGCTGTGCGTGAGCCTGGGGGTCTGGGTTTTGGGCCAGGGCTCCGGGCGTTGTGGGCTTGGTTTTCAGATTCGAAGTCTCCCCGACAATCACCTATATACCTATAGATCCATAGTAGTTCCTTTTTGGGTTTTCATATTTAGAATCCTGTCAGGTAAACCCATAAAGGAACTGCTATGAAGCCTATGGGTGGAGGGTCCATATATACTACCATTCTGGAATTGAGTCCCAGAAGTCCGAACTGATTATGGTTTTGCGGACCAAATCTTCCACAATTGTAGAATCCCTAAGACCCCAAGTATACAAATAGTACCTACCTTTGGGGTCTAAAGTTTATAAATACTACCTACTTTGGGCTATTTGGAGCTTCCGGGTGTACTTTCAGATCCCAGAACCTATAAGATCTCTTATCATCCGGTCTCCCCGTACATCGCTTGTATGGGTAGTTATCAAAAAGAGGATCCCTGTTGGGGTACCCTAAACAATAGGTGCCGTACTAGATTAGGGATCCAAAAAAAAAAACTTAGACAACTACCCATATAGGGTAAATTTCATAGACACCCTACCGACAAATCTTACGGAAGATTGTAGGCGGGGCTTTGCCCAATCCAGGTAACCGTGAAACCATTTAAGAGGAACTGGTAAGCAGAACATGGTCCTGGGGTATTTTTGGTCATTTATGGTACGGACCCTTGTTAAGGACCGGCAACACTACTCGTTAAGGCTGCTGCCTTACATTGACACGGGGGGGGGGGGGGGGGGTACCTTACATTGACACAAAGGGTGCGCTGTTTTGCTTCAACGCCGTCGACCACTCCTGGGCGCTGGAATGATCACAGTGCCGAGCTCTGACGATAGTTGTTGTTTTTGTTTCAAGTCTTTCGCATAGGCTGTCACCTCGGCTCTTGACATTATACAGAAATTCGGCCTCTAGGGTTTTGGTGCTTTAGCCAGGGTTTAGCGCCAGGGTTTCAAGCGCGACCCTTTATTTGTACTCTTTGTCAGGGGGCTTCAGAACTCCAATCCGAACCCGGAGCTCCAATTCCTACACTCTTAAACCCTAGATCCTGAATGGGGCTTAGGGCTTACAGCAGAAGCCTAAAAGTTGGAAACCCAATAGCCTCAGTCCTTAAGAGTAATGTATAGGGAATCCGAGCTCTTTTGCCCTTAATCAGGTTTCCAATTTTATGGGGCTTACTGTAGCATTTAGGGGGGTCACATTTGGGTAACTGTAGGGTTCAGAGTTCGGACCTATGGTTTAGATTTCCGATGTGGGGCTTAGGGGGAAGGATTTCTGGTATAATGCGTCGGGCTGGGGATTCTGGCTGTTTGGGGCTCTAAGGTCTGGGATTTCTAGCTTACAAAAGGGCTTAGGGCGGATGCCGTAACTGTTCGATGCTCTTCGGTCGAAGCCCTGAAACCGCAGAATGTGCCCCAGGCACCGCAAGCTCGAAGATCCTAAAAGCCTACTTGGAGGATCATGGGACTTAGTAAGTAAGGTTATAAGTACCCTATTTGGGGTTATAAGTATAGATATAGTTACCCCATTTATAACGCTAGTTACTAAGTCCCATGATCCTCCAAGTAAGCCCCTAAACAGTTTAGGGTTTACCTAAACCCGAAAGACTACCTTTTCAGGGCACCTTAGTACCTATAGGGTCATACCCGACCCCTTTTCAGGGTACCTAGCTTTATAATTAGTTTGGATCTGCTATATAGAAAAGTAGGTACTCTTAAACGGGTGTAGGGCTCCTCAGTAGTGAAGATGGTCATTAGGCGTCCACTGTTTACTGCTTAAGCCCACAACCTAAACTCAGCGAGGCACTGGCTGTACAATCATCCCACACACGGCTGGGCGAGAGAGAGAGCTTGCCCATCAAACGCTAAAGCCGAAACACAAGGCCAGGTGAAAAAAGTAAGCCTGGCCTGAATATTTAGAAGAGGATTTTTGGCTTATAGGGTCCTTTTACTGTCAAAAGGAATTTCGTGGAATACTGTTGGTACGCATTGTCTGGTTAAGGCCGCGGTAGCGACGCACCAGGGAGCTAGGACTTCAGGGGCTCAAACCATCCTGACCTGGAAACCAGAAGCTCGAAGGTGATTGCGGGGGATTGAAGCTCATATCACAAAGACCCCTATGTAGGGGGGTAGGGGGAGGGGGGTAGGGGGCGGTCATGCCATAACAAGGACCTAATAAGGCCTGGGGTCCCTATGATCATAGGCCATCGACGTGTCCAGCCGATTAACTGAGGAGTTCAGGGTCTGCCCAGACTCTATTACGTAGCACCTTTGTTTGGCTGAATTACCCTAAGGGTCCAAGTAGTCCTTATTTATGGCTTTTGGTACCTAAAATGGACCCAAAGTCCTATAATAGGGAGTACTTGGACCCTTAGGGTTAGTTTCTGATTACGGGATCCGAAACAGAAACATGGTTGTCAGGAAAATCAGTAACTACTACATTCTCGGGTCTGGTTAGGTTTGGGCTTTGGTCCGCGCCAGGGTCTAGAAGTCTAGAATAAAACTAAGCCCAATATCCCGAACCCGAGGACCCTAAAGCGTAATACAATCCAATTCAAGACCCTAGGGCGTCAGGGCAAGCCGAAAAGAGCCAGGGCCTAAACCACAGGCAAAACGAAGACGCACACAGAGGCCTTCGCCTGACGCGTGCTCTGGAGCACATCGGAATGGCAGCTGTCGAGCGATATTGGTGAAGACCCTAAATCCGAACATAGGAGTATCTTGGGTCTGGGGGGTCTAATGAGTATAGGTCTAATACGGAGCAATTAAGAGCTCTTTGTTGCATATATGTATGGCCCTAAAGCCATGCTGGTGCCGAACTTGGAAATTAAATAAGGTATTGGTATAATAGGGTTTAGGGATAGGTTGCGTATAGGGTTGAGGTTGTGTTGTAGGAGTCGGGGGTTTCATTGGAGATCCCTTATTGGGTTTAGACAATTCAATTTAAAACAGTTTCCGCATGTTGCCGTTAATCCTAGTCGCTACACTGCTACACCCTGAAACTTGATTGAACAAAAACGTGAATAAGAACAGGGGCGAGTGTTTGAGGTCTGACTAGGGGTGCATTGTTTAGGATTTGGGTCTTAGCCAAGCTCGAGTGCCGACGTCCTTTAACTTTCTTCCCAAACGCTGCAAAGAAGCAGCATAATTGCTGGACCAATGCACCCTGCAGCGAGATGATGCATGAATGAGCACAGACACGGCCGCAAGTATAAACCCCCCAAGGGGCAAGTTACGGCAAAAATATGAGAGATATGTGTCCGGTCCCTTGGTCCTCACGAGGTGAAACAAGAACCGCAAAACCTAATGAAGGGGCCTGTAAAACAATTGGAGTATGGTTTCGACTATAGCTATACTATAGTTCTACAGCATTCATTCCGACCCCTGTACTAAATCCTAAAACAGGAGCCTCTTATTTGAGGGAGGTCGAAGCCGTGTAGAGAAACGAACGGCTCGACTCCTCATTATGTGAGGCTCCCTGCGGCGAAAGCAGTAAGCCCTGCCTTGCACCGAAGTCGTAGTCTCGGCTTCCCCCTAAACCCCGAACCCTCTTCACGGATCCCCTACATTCGGCCCTGAACCCCTGGATTCTGGGTTAAGGGCTTTTAGGGTATAGGGTTTAATATGCATGCTTGCAGTAACGGATCAGAGGATTCGGATTACCGCTACCCTGAAAAGCCGTGCTGGGCCACTACATATCAACCACTTACTGAGTGTCCTGATCGCAAAATGCACGCTATAAGCCCTCGATGAGCAACCCTCTCCAGCGAGTATGCTGGCAAAGCGTCGACACGAACTGAACATTTACTCAAAGACGTTGCAAGCAGCAAACCCTGCAGCACTTGAAACAGTAGTCCTCAGTCCTCACTTTCTCTATAAACTGCTCAGCTCACAAAAACTTCCAGGCTCGAATTCCTTCCTACACCCTACATCCGGACTTTGATGCGTGCAGGACTTAATGACCTTCCCGGGCTGCGAAGCAGCCGAAGAGCTTGCCGACATCGAACCAATCGTCCACAGTCGTCAAGATCCTTGGGTTGCTTAGTATCATGGGGACCCTTCGGGGGGTAGGGGGAGGGGGGGTAGGGGGCCTTAATGCCCACAATAAGGACCTACTAAGGCCTATTTTGAAGAAGTATAGTCCCCTACCCCCCTCCCCCTTATGCCCCTAAGGGTCCGTGTGATTTCATGCAAAGCGGTACTCTTCAGGGTTCTATATCAGGCTACCATAAGGGTTTGGGGCTTAGGGTTTACAAGGGTGGATGTACTATACAGTGCATACTTTGGCTCTATAAATGGGGAGAAAGGGAGTACTTCAAAGCCAAAGTATATACTCTATGAGTTCATGGACCCATAGGGGAAGCCAGAAAGTTGGAACATCAGTGGTTTTTACGGTATTGCGGAAAAATTTAGGGAATCCCAGCACTAACCATCCTAGGATTTTAGTTAAGCTTGCATATAGTGCTAGTACTTTTCACCACCCTTCCACCGAGAAACTAGTTGGATCATCGCTAGCGCAGATAATTATGGTCCCATTAGTATGCATCAGCTGTAGGCCACAATGCAAAGACCCTCGCCCGAAACCCTAACGGCTAAATCTGTGAACCCCTGCCCGTGTGCCCGAACTGTTTAAGATTATGAAATTGACGGGTTTGAGGGGCTACGGCTAGGATTTCAGCCCCAGCAGAAAGACAAAACACAACACAACACCCAAACAGCCAGCCTTAATGCTGTACAGGGGCCCTGATCATTCAAGAAGCCTTTGGGAGGGCATAGGTATATTAGGCTAACCATATATAAGGGACGACGAGGAATGCTATGTTGATTATTGTCAAGCCCCAAAACCCCCAAACCCTGCACAACCCTAAACCCTAAACCCTAACCCCCCCCCCCCCCCCCCCCAAACCCTAAACCCTGAACCCTAAACCATATGTATAGGTATATTAGGCTAACCATACATCAGGGACGACGAGGAATGCTGTTGATTATTGTCAAGCCCCAAAACCACCAAACCCTGCACAACCTTAAACCCTAAACCCTAACCCCCCCAACCCTAAACCCTAAACCCCCCCCCCCAAACAACAAAAAATACAACGAATCCAAAGGTCTCACTTTCTTCCTTCCTCTGCGCTCGCCTGCTGGCAGAGGATTCGCGGTCCTGCTCGGAGAGTCAGGGTGCTAAAAGGGTTCCGGGATTTGGGTTTAGGATTTAGGGGTTTAGGGTTTTAGGGTTTGAGGGGTTTAGGGTTCCGGGATTTGGGTTTAGGGTTTCGGGTTTAGGGGTTCAGGGGTTTAGGGATTTAGGGGTTTAGGGGTTCAGGGGTTTATTTGGGGTTTTGGGCTTTGGTGGATTTAGGTTTCAGGGTCTAGGGTATTTCTGGGGTTTTGGCGGGTTTACGTTTTAGGGTCTATAGGGTATTTTTGGTGAGTTGCAGTTTTAGGGCTTCGGGTTTTGGAAGTTGCAGGATTAAGGCTGCATGCGTTAAGGAAACCAGCAGCTTAGCCGAGAAGATGAACAAGTACTTCGTGGAATTCCCATTACCCGAACACGCTAAGTCCGAAACATGTGGGCAGTTCTCTAAATTAGGGTTCCTTCAAAAGCTTTTTCATAGGAGTGTCGTACTCTGTTGGGGGCCTAAACAGGGACCCTGATTTAGACAACTAAACATGTGAGAACCCCTCTAAAGTATCTTGACGGTCGCCCTCTAATACATAATAGCCTACATTAATTTTGCGGGCTTCTTATTATAACTGTAACCATGGACCCTACTTTTTGTGGGAGTAGGCCTTAAAAAGCCATCCCCCATTATGGTTTTGGGGACCGAACTTCATAATACGGTTGATGATATAAATCCTGCATGACCCATAATAAGGAATGTACCATAATTCCCATAGTTTTGGGTCCTTAAGGTAATGCAGGATTTATATCATCAACCGTAGTAGTGTTTCTGGACCCTCTGGGTAACATAATACACCCCCCCCAAAAGTTCCAATTATTCAGGCGCATATATATATATATATATATATCATCCCAGAGAGCCCAATACCCCTTAATTAAGGAATATGGCTTAAATTAGATAGGGCTTCATCTTATGATTTAAGCTATATTCCATTAATTAAGGGGTATTGGGCTCTCAGGGATCCTTCTCAGGCGCTGGGGCATAAGAAGCCCCGGGTCCTTGCGGCAGAACATGGTAAAGCCTCAACCCTGAACCGCTTGCGGCTCAGGGGGTTTCGGGCTTAGGATTTAGGGTTTAGGATTTAGGGTTTATAAGGTCTAGCATTCAGGATTTACGGTTTAGGGTTTAGGGGTTTAGGGGCTTGGGGTTTAGGGTTTAGAGACCCTTTACCATGGTTCCCTCTTGCAGTCTTTTAAGGACTTTCTAGGGACCCGACACAAGAAACCGAAGCTTCTTCGTGTCCTTCTTTCGGTGCCCAAGGAGCTGATTGACATCAAACCAGTTCTCCACGGAAGTCACGATCCTCGGGTCCATTGCGGGCTTCAGGGGTATAAACCTATCGTCTCCATTGTAGTTCCTCTTTTTGTTTCACCAAAAAATATGTTATGGGATCCTAACCACAAAACTGGTTAACCACAAAAAGAACTACAGTGGAGACTATAGGTAGATCGGGTTGGAAGGTTTAGGGTATTGTTGAGGGGCTTTGATCCTTTAGGCAACCCTAAAACCTCCAATGCAAGCCGTGTGAAACCATGCTAGACCCAAGATGCGCTAAACCCTCCTATTTAAAACAAAACCTTGAAGTATAACAACGTTAATACTGCTGATGGACAAAATTCTGCATTACCCGCTATAAGGAATATGCCATAGCTCCCATGGTTTAGGGTCCTTAAGGTCATGCAGGATTTATATCATCAACCGAAAACCCCATAGATCCCTTAAAGGAACCCCTTAAAGGTACCCTTATAGATCCCTCTAAAGGAACCCTAGGATTTTGTCCATCAGCAGTACCACTCAGACCCGTACTGTAGAGGACACACCTTCGAAGGTATATTCTTTGTACTTCCCTTGCAGAACCCTTACAGATCCCCTTGAGGAACCCTGAACCCTAAGCTGCATAAGCCCTACAAACCCTTAAACCCCTGAATTCTAAACCCTAAACCTTTAAACCCTAAACCACATGAACACTAAAACCCTAAACGCCTAAACCCTAAACCCCTAAAAGTATATTCCCTTTAAGGAACCCTTCAAGGAACCCTATAAACCCCAAACCCTGAAAAGAACCCTTCGGGAATGAATTCCGCGTCCGAGACTCTCCCTCTCTGGCTGCGAAGCCACCTCCTGCTCACACGTGGTTATGGGTTTATGAGGTTATGAGTTATGGGTATAGGGGTTTAGGGTTTATGGGTTTGGTGTTTATGGGTTTAGGGTTTATGAGGTTGTTGTTCAGGGCTTATGGGTTTAGGATTTAGGGCTTTAGGGTTTAGGGTGACGGGTTTTACGGTTTAGGGTGTACGAGTTTAATTTTTGTTAAGGGTTTATGGGTTTATGAGTTATGGGTTTAGGGTTTAGGGGTCAGCATGAAGGGATTTAGGGTGAAAGGTTTATGGGTTAAGGGTTTAGGGGTTCAGTGGTTTAGAGGTTTAGGGTTTAGGGTTGGGGTTGTGGATTCAAATTCGATCAGGATACGAGACCCTACTTGATCCTACTTGGGTTTTCGGGTGGTGTGATCCTTTATTTATACGATTTAGTATTCGGGTTTGATTCTGCAAAGGGACTCGGAAGGAAGCACACCGCACCTTTACACCAGCACGGGATCCGCACCAGCACTGTGCTTCCTGCAGAAATCACCCGAATCACCCACATATTGCTCAGCAACGACATCAACCTCCGTTCTGCGTTGACTCGCATTCTGATTCCCCACGGGGCACCTGGCCCCTGCATGCCCACTCTTCTGGCGGTTGGCACTCTCCAAACCATCCGGACCCGACGAGCTGTAGAAGTTGTGAGCCGTTGCTGGCAGTTCACATGCGAGTTGCAACGTAAATGCAATGTTTCCTGCTCGCTTCGCATCGCATACGGACGAACTTTTACAGATATCTCAATGCACCGATGGCGCTCCGCCCGGAGAACCGTGCGCTGCCACTTCATGCGGGATTGCTTGTGTTATAGATACCCTAAGACTCCAAGTGTACAAATAGTACCTACTTTGGGGTCTAAAGTCTATCAATACTACCTAGTTTGGGCCATTTGGAGTCTTAGGACAGAGAATAGACAGCATCTGAAATAGACGTACCTTCTGATGCTCCCCGGCTATTTTGTCAATCCTGCATTGCCGGTCCGCATCGGTGCTGGGCTTAGGCATGGCCTATTAGGACACATGGGGATGGGGGCAAATACGACGGAAGTAGACTTAGCTTTGTTGAATATAGGTTCTCTTGCTACGATGGAGACCCAAAGACCCGAGCCTAACTCACCCAACAAAAGTTGCTGGAGCATGGATGAAGGGATACCTTTGTTGTAGTAAAGTTAAGTTGAGGCCGCTGTGCATATCACATAGTCCATGAACCCGTAGGGAAGGTTCTCGATTCGGAATCTTCGCTCTCACATCTTGCGCAGAAGAGCCAGACGTTGTAGCATCTTGCGATGCTTATCAAGACCGTGTCTAAGAGTCTATGTCATCAAACAGGTGCAGATTGCCGCTAAAAGTAGGTGTATGTAGGTGTCTAGGGTCTATTTCTCTATTTTTAGGTAGATGGAAGGTCGAGGAAAACCGTTTCCGCATCAAGGAACCCAAACATAGAAAACATGACACCCAAAGCAACACTGCAGTGCAGGTTCTAGGTATACTTCAAAGTGTAACCCTGAATCCTGCGGAGTTAGATGGGGTTGTACCTAAAACGCCGGACACTGCGAACCCCAAACACTGATGCCCATAAAGCGCCACCCTCTACGGAACAGGTATCTTCACGTAGGGTTGACACACAAAACATACACTGATGCAAGCCGTGAACCTCCAACTCTCAAGCCCCAAACCCGAAGACTCCAAGCCCCCCCCACGCCAAATCCTTGAAACCCCACACTCTGACAACCACCAGGGTCCTAAACCAAACTTGAATCCTGTAACTCTAAAACCCGAAGGTGCCAAAGCCTCAGCACACCGAAACCCAAAAGCTCGAAGCCCTACAGTAAACTCCATAAAGTTGGAAACCGGAGTCAGGCCAAATAGTGCTGGGATTCTCCATACAGTATATACATTACCCTTAAGGATTGAGGCTGTGGGTTTTCCAACTTTTGGGCTTCTACTGTAAACCCTACAAGTATCCTCCTCTTGCTTGGGTCCATGATCACTAGCCCAGGTTGAAACCGACGACGAGACCTCCAGGGTGTCGTGTCGGCTTCGAAAGCTGCTTTCAGGTTCACCCTACCTACGAAGTCCCATGATCCTTTAAGTAACTCTGACCCTGAATGTAATCCCTTCTGCGCTAAAGGACCCTAAACCCCTGAACCCTAGGTATTGATTCGGCATAATCGGCCTATGGGAAGCGGCTGCGTTGGAGGGGACGAGTAATCTAGGGGCCGTAGTGATAGACCAGGGTTTTGGGGGATAATGCACTATAACTGTAATCAGGAACCACCAAAATAGTATGAGTCATTATTAAGGCCCCTACATTAGCTGCCGCACAAGTTGGCACGACTAGGACCTTCTGCTGATTTTGGGGCTTTGGCGTCCCTGTACTTCCCCTGAGACTCCAAGTATACAAACAGTACCTACATTGGGGGTCTAAAGTCTATAAATACTACCTACTTTGGGCTATTAGGAGTCTGAGGGTTCGGCTTTCGGATTCTAGATGGCATGGAAAACACACCGAATCCTTCCATGCGATGTCCTTAGACTGGGCCAAGGCTTTCGATTCCGTTACCTTCTCTGCCATACAGGCCTCCCTTGAACGACACGAAACACTTAGTTGCTGAGTTCATAAGCCCCAAAGCAGTGTACACCTTCGGCTTTATAGTGGGTAATGTTATCCCAAAAAGTGTAGAGTGTATCCACTTAGCTACTAAGAATCATTCAAAAACTTTCAGTGGTGAGCGGGTCCCTTAAACCAAAAGGGAAAAGGAGGGACCCTTAATGGGGACCCCTACCCTATATTGGGCTATACAATGAGTATATAATAATAGCTATATTAAGGGTATATAACGGTATATACCTAGGGGTCATTATTAAGGGTACCTCCTTTTACCCTTGGATTAAACCCATCCTCTACTACCGGCCTCTGGTGTAAACTGGTCTCGCAGCAGCTCCTCCTGGCGGGTCGTGATGTTGAGGATACGGTTGATGATATAAATCCTGCATTACCTGAAGGACCCTAAACTATGAGAATTATGGTATATTCCTGTTTATAGGTAATGCAGGGTTTATATCATCAACCGTATCTATACAACTTCAAAAATTCTTCTTTAACGGCCTCTCAAGGGTCTTCTAAACCGCAACAGTTTCTAATTAATCTTCTTACATTGTTAATGCGAAGGCCTTTCTTTCTTTCAAGGGGACTTTTCACCGGAAGAGTTTCTGATGGGCCCTGTGCAGATTGCTTCAAGGCATCCGTGTTGCAGCACTTGTGCGCTGAGGGCTTTACTTTAGGGGTTAGAGTCTTCTGGCCGCGTTGTTCAAGAGCGGTGCCACATCCTGTTTAGATGGTCCTGCTCAGGGATGCTTGTGCGGGCTTTTATACGCTGCGACTACGGGCAGAAGCTCCGAAAGAACATCTCTTGGCACCGAATTCCACGTCGCAGGATCTGTGGGGGCCCTGTGCCTTCAAAACTAGGGTTCAGTAGTTGTAAGCTAGATCCTCTTATGGCCAAGATGCGAAATTCAGTTTTATGCTAAACTTTGTGAGTTGGAAAACCGCAATCCAAAAAACTCGCCCTAGGCCCTTGCAGAAGCCATGTCGCAACCCCAACACAAGCCCTAGCAACCTTCCAGCCTCCGAAAGCCTAGATCCTAAGCCCCCGACCCCTTAAAAAGGAACCTAGGATAGAACACTATACTACCCTTAAAGGGGACACCATTATGGAACCGTTTACTACCCTTAAAGAGGACCCTGTTGTAGAACCCTACACCGCCCTTAAAGGAACCCCCTTCAAGCTTCAAAGGAACCCTCGCAGCACTCCGAAGCCCTGTAAACCCAAAACCCTAAACCCTAAATCCTTAGCCCCTAAATCCTAAAACCCTAAACTCAAAACCCTCAACCGCAAGAAAACTGAACATCCATAAACATCCCTGAACCCTAAACTCTCCGAAGAGGCCGAGGGGCCGGGTGGCAGTCCGACTGCACGGGGAGGAAAGTCGATGCATCCTGGGTGCTTGCAACGGAATGTAAGTTAGGCTACAGTAAACCCCATAAAGCTGGAAACCGGATGAAGGCCAAGTAATGCTGGGATTCCCCTTACATTACTCTTAAGGATTGAGGCTATTGGGTTTCTAACCTTTGGGACCTTTGGGCTTCTTCTGTACCATACTGCGATGTGTAAGCGCGCCTTTACGGGTGAAGGGATAATTGAAGTTACCATCATAAGGAAACCGCATTATTTACTATACATCTCTGTTATGGCAACTTAAACCTTGAACCCTGAACCATTAAAGGAACCCTCATACATCCCTTAAAGGAACCCTTAAAAAGGATCTCTTAAAGGAGCCCTTGGAGGGATCTCTTAAAGGAACGCTGAAAGGAACCCTCACACATCCCTTAAAGGGATCTCTTAAAGGAACCCTTAAAGGAACCCTCATACATCCCTTAAAGGGATCTCTTAAAGGAACCCTTAAAGGAACCCTCATACATCCCTTAGAGGGATCTCTTAATGGAGCCCCTGTAGAGTAAGTTAAGTTCCTGAAACAGAAACCCAGTAGCCGCCGAGGTCTGGCGAAGATACCCGGCCTCCAAGGCCTCACACAGGGGTTCCCTTTTCAAGGGATTCTTTAGGGTTCTATGATAGGGTTCCCTAATTCAGGGAACCTGAAGGTGCCATAACAGGGTTCCTTTCGAAGGGATAGGCAAACTTCCCTTTAATTTTGGGCTTCCTTAGGGTTTAGGGTCTAGGGATTCTTTAGGGCCTCCTTAAAGCTATAAAGGGGGAATTTAGAACCCGACTCAGAGTCGTGTCAGTTTGGAGTTCCTTTGAGGGTTTCGATTTCAAGGGTTTCGGGGTTTAGGGGTTTAGGGTTTCGGGTTTCGGGTTCATTGAAGAATTCCTCCAGGGAGCCCTTTCAGGCTTCTATGAGGGTCATGACTACATGTTTTTTGGTGGCAAAAAATGCTTTTAGTGGCTGGGGCGATGCTGGGAGGATCAGGGGACTTAGTAAGTAAGGTTATAAGTACCCTAATTGGGGTTGTAAGTAAATATAAGTTATAGTTACCTTACCTTATTTATACCCCTAGTTACTAAGTCCCATGATCCTCTGAAGGACTAAGCGCAGGGTCGGTGCTCAAGGTTGAAACTTATACAAGGTTTCTGTTCTCAGGGCTTACAGTTTGAAGGGTTCGTGCAGTTCTTTGTGTTTTGCTTTTTGTTTCATCAGCTTTTTCGTTTTACTTCTAAGGCTTAGTACTAGATGCCCGGTGGTCCTTTAAACCCGAGGGTTCCTTGTGCTGTTTCAGGAAGACTATAAGGCTCGGCTGGGCGACCTGGCTGAACTGCTATAAGGGGCGCAGGGTCTGGGGTCGGGGTTCCGAAACTTGGGGGTCAAAGGTTGCAGATGGGTTTAGGATTGTTCCTGGGGATCCGAGAGCCTACCCTTTTAAGGGTTCTACCTTCTAATAAAGGGGTCATAACCTACTATTTTGTAGGGTTTGGGGCCACGGCGAGCCTGAGCACCCACCGTTCAGGACCCTAAAAGCATGTTTCAAAGGGTGATTTGGGCCTGGGAGGGTGCTGGTCAGCCACAAGAACTCGGACTTCTACTTCGTTGTTCAGGACTTGTCAAGTAAGCTGTCACTCAAGATCCGCTTGCAGGCTGTTGAGACTATGTACTGGCAAAGTACAAGAAACCCCAGACATTGAACCCTGTCAGGAAGCCAAACTTGTTCCTAGGATACCCAGTAACCTAAGAATAAAAAGGCCTCTCTTTTTGGTATTGGGTAACTTTAATATAAGGAACCTAGGACTACAAAAAGGGAATAAGGGTACTACTGGGCATCCTAGCCAAACTTGTTCTCTCCTTGGATCAGGATGTGGCCCTAAACCCCAAAGCCCCCAAGCCGCTGCCTTTGTCAATTATCAGGGCCCAACAAGTTCAAACTTCTTACTCGGCTCTGTAGGCATGCTTTCTCCAGCCAGCCGTCGTACGGTGTCAAGTTCACGACACGGCATCTCTGTTTCACGATCGTTGTGTCCAGGCCTTTGAAGCATGTCGACAAGATGGCCTGTGGGAAGTCCATGCCCGCGAGAAGCTGGGCAGCTTCTTGAGCGTCTGAAAGGCTCCTGGGTTAGCAGACCTTATGCTTGTCAGGACACCCAAATCTGCATACGGTGCTACTGCGGCCTCGCAGTGCCTTCGGCTGTGCTGGGGGTACCATCTTTGTACTGCGGAACCACGTGAGCCCATGGAATTGGAGCACGGTTGCCCCTGACGATTCCGGTCTCTCTCCCTCGTAGGGATTACACCTACAACCCCAAGAAAATTAAAGCCCTCCAGCTGAGTAAGTAGATTTCAGGCATCGGATCGCTCAGGGTGCAGGGTTTATGGTCTGGAATCCTTCCTCCGGTCTTCAGCATCCGATCTTGGTGGTGTCTCGGCATTTGTTGGGGTTTTCGAGGTCGCGGGCTTGGGTTTTAAGAAGTTTCATGGCTTTGAAGTTACATCTCAACTCCAAAGCCCTAAACCCCACATCCTGAACTCAAGCCCGGGGCTCTAAACTCTCGCGTCCCAAGGGTATTGAAAACTAAAACCATAAGTTTTTGGATCCAACGGTAGACCCAGAAACCGAAGCCCTAAACAGTTAGTTAGAGGAATCCTTGTAGAACCCTTACCCAAAGGGTCCTGTGTACTGTCATGGGGGATACTTCCCTGAGGCATAATCGTAATTCGTAATATGGAAACTCTACCTCCCACTATATCGGTACATAGGACCCTCTGGGTTATAGTACCCTTGTAGTACCCTTAACGGAACCCCGTTGAAGGAGCCACGTGAGGCCTCGATCGTCTGAATCCTTGGCACATCGTAGGCGCGCCCGGAGGCCTTATCGACTTTCTCGGGGGGCCGAGGGGCTTAGGATAAAGGTTGGGAACTGCCCCACACAGCAACAGTTGAAAAATATTCATAACATAGATATACTAGGACCCTATTAACTAGTAGCCTTATTAAAGATCGTTACTGTATTGAGGCAGCACCCGAAATAAAGGTATCCAGAACGGTTTAGGGTTTAAGGATGTTTAAGGTTTCGGGGTTTTGGGGGACCATAGTATATAAATAAATAGAGAACCCTTGAAGGGTTCCCGTTCAAGGGTTTCCGGAAGGAATCACTACCTGCCAAGACCCGCCCCTCCAAGTATCTTACACCCTGAACCATTACGTACAGGAGCCCATCAAGGAAAGCCATGCTTCCTCAACTTACATAGGGCTTGGTCTGAGATTCCTTAAAAGGAACCCTATATACTGTAGGGAACCCCATAAGGAACCCTTATAGATCCCTGAAAAGGAACCCTATATACTATAGAACCCTAAAGGGAACCCTATAAGGAACCCTTATAGATCCCTCAAAAGGAACCCTAGAACCCTAAACCGTATAAAGAAGCCTTATAGGCCACTTGAACGGAACCCTAAATTATACCCGTTATATACTACAGAACCCTAAAGGGCACCCTGTATTATAGGTCACTTGAAAAAACCATAAATCATGCCTATTATATACCATGGAACCCTAAAGGGAACCCTATAAATACCTATTATATACTATAGAACGCTAATACTATAGAACCCTAAAGGGAACCCCTGCCTGCTTCTCCGGCGGGCCCAGGACTTTGATTTGCATCGCAGGCGTCATGACGGCCGAAGTCGCGGTCCCATCCATCTGGGCTCTTAATTACAAGGGCTCTACAGGGTCCATGTGTTCATAGAGTATATACTTTGGCCTTAAAGTAGTCCCTATTCAGGTACTGCCGGGCCTAACCATCGCCCGCTTGAACAATCATAGGATTTCGCTTGAAACTACCAATCGATTCTGCTGCGCTTGAAAATACCATGTGCTCTTGGTAATTTCTATCGGACCCGCTAGGAATCGGTTGGGGTGCTATTTTCTCTGCTAGGTTCTCCGCTGGGTTTTATCACCGATTCCGCAAGGTTTTTCATCAACGATTCCGCTTGGTTTCCCGTGCCCAACACAAAAAAAACATCGAACCCAACCCGAAGCTCTGAAGCACACAGGTCTTCACAGGTTTTCACAGAACTTCACAGAAATTCACAGAGTTTCACAGAAATTCACAGATCTTCACAGACCAGTCTGTGAAGATCTGTGAAATTCTGTGAACACCTGTGAAAACCTGTGAAACCAGAAATCGCCGGCTTCAAGCCAGGGCCAAACACCCGCGCTCCTGAATGCTCCGCTTGGGCCGCTTGGTTTTTGCTCCATTCTCCTATTGGTTCCCCGCTAGGATTTTGTTTCGCTTGGTTTTCACAGAAAACTAGTGGATCCGCTTGAAAATATCAATTGGGTCCAATCCGCTTGAAACTACCAATCGAATCCGCTTTTTTCTGTCGGCCGATGGATAGGGTATATACACTATGGGTACATGGACCCCTAAACCCTAAACCCTTATGGTACCCTTAAAGAACACTTTTGGTAACCTTAAATGAGCCCTAGTTGGGTACATGGACCCTTGGGAAGGCTTTCGTCATAAGGGTCTCGTAGAGGCCATTACCTAAGCGACATAAAAGCCTAAAGCTTTCCGACGCTGTACAACCCAAAGGGCATGGGGAATACTTACCTAAACCATAATGGTAAGTCCTATTCCCAAGAAGCCCTACAGTCTACGATATAGGTACTTGTGACCCTTGGGGCAACAATCGAAACAACGAAATCCAAGGGCGCCGACACGTAATCTAACACAGGGGACCCACATATGACATAGGCGCCTTAGTAGCTTCAATGGCCTGGGGTAAACTACGGTGTTGGTATAACTATATTGACTATAGTACCCTAAACCCTAAACCTATGGTAAAGAACACAAGAAACAGGAACATCAACTTTGCAGGCTTCTGGGTCATGCTACCGTTGAGGAAGTTACGACATGACGTGTTGTGGTAATCGGAAGCTTAATTCCACAGTGGCAGTGTGCAAGTTCCAGAATCTTTAGAGCCTCCGAGACAAATCGTGGCCGCCGAAACCGGAAACCCCTACCTCCTGGATCCCTAAACTCTTATAAACCGTAGATAGACACATGCAATCTCTAAACCGTGAAGCCCTTGACCCTTAACTGAACCCCTAAACCCAAACCTCGGACCCAAGCCAGCTCCAAAGCTTGCCGAGAGCTTCTGCAACAGAGGATCGTAGAAACTCCTGCAAGCCCTGCTTCCCAAAACGTCCTAAGTACCTATATGGGGGCTACTTGCCGAAACCACAAAAAAGTTCCTACTGTACCATAGAAAACCTACTTTCTGCTATGTAAGTAAGTGCTTATGACCCTTTGGGCCTGTGACCTGCCCTACGAGTCGTATGATTCTGTCGGTATCGGAAGATCTGCAATCCCAAAGGGATTACTATTACGACTTAGGGAAGTATCACCCATAACAGTACATAGGACCCTTTGGGAACAGCCGGGGCACCGTGGTCGTGGCCATGGTGGACGTGGATGTCTCTACACAACTGCTCCGGTAGAGTTATTTGCGCTTGAGCCTGGTCAAGTAGCGATCTGAGATTTCGGGCTTGCGGTTTGAGCTTATTCGCAGACTGCAAAACACCAATAGATCAACCTCACTCTCACTGAGAACTCACCAGACCCAAAAACCTAAGACTGGAAGGATCTGGGCAGGCAGTAATCATAAGTTTTACTTGGGGCCATAATAAGCTAAACCTTCATTGGAATTCTCCGATCACCGCCTCATTTCAACCTAGGCGCTAAGTCCTGCACTCTGCTCCTATTAGAAGCTAAGAAGAATCCCTAAGGGTCTAAACGACCTCACCATTAGGTGCTTAGGTTAAGGATAGTAGTTATGCAGGTTACTATTTGGGAGGGTATATGACTATGAAGTCCTTGGACCCTAGAGGAATACGTTGGAGGCCCTACAAAGGAAACTGCAAACCACAAAAGATATTGCACATGTAGTCAGGAGCCTTGTAAAGTTTACGTCCCAAGCCGCCCAAAAACAACAAACTGTTTATTCTAGCAACCCTTACAGAACTCGTACCGTACCAAACGCAACCCCCCGCCCGATCCTCGAACTAGCTGTCGAGTGCATAACGCTAAATGACCTGGAGATGAAACGGATCAGAAGAAAGCTATACCCTAAACTTTTCCTTTCCCTTCTCCAACTTACTGACTTCCAGCTGACCCTAAGTGTACTATACTTGGGCCTTAAAGTAGGGAAGAGCGACTACATTGAGGCCACAGTATATACCATGTGAATACATGGACCCTTATGGTGACATTGGGATACTCGGGCTTGGCAATCCCAGAAAAGCTAAGGCAGCTAAGACCTGAGCCCAACACCCTAAAACCCTACAGTAGAAGCCAGAAAGTTGGAATATGATTATCCTAGCCCTTCTATGGTAAATTATAGGGTATCCTACCCTGAAACCATATTCCAACTTTCTGGAGTTCCCTCTAGAAGACTCCGTTTTCAGACCTCTCCGACCTCTAATGTAATGGAGGGGCCTTGATGATGAAGTGAGGGTTTCGGTGTCTGTTAACCGTAGTCAAAACCGGAAGGAAACGGAACAACCAAGGGGATGCGAGTTCTATTGCACCCTGAGTAAGGAAAAAAAGACGGTTTACAGTAGACAGTTTAGTGATAGGTTTATCGGGCTGGTGGGCTTTGATTGTAGGCTATATGACTATACTGAACTTAGAACCCTAGCAACAATTATAATTTTAGCGGTTTCTTAGGGATTATAATAACCAAAAATTAAAAACTATTTCTAAGTACTAAGAGTATTCAGACCTGTACTTTAGTTGATCCTAACCCCTACATGGGTGGTTGTCAAAATTAGGGTCCCTTCTTGGGTCCTTAATATAGTACGGCACCTACTATTTAGGGTACCCGAAAAGGGGCCATATAATTGACTACTACCCACATGAACCTCAATTCCTGCGCCGTTTTGGGGGTAACCCTAAACCCTAAACCCCTAAACCCTAAACCCCTAAACCCCTAAACCCTAAACCAGTTGATCCTAACCCCTGCATGAACCTCAATTCCTGCGCCGTTGCTTTTGGGGTCATCCCGGCACATCGGAGCGCCCGCTGAGACGGGTCAGAAGCTCTTCATGGCTCCGGGCAATGCAAAGCCTCGAAGTCGAGGGGGGTATAGGAAGTTGGGTTTTTGGAGTTTGGGAGTTTCATGCAAAGCCTCGAAGGGCGAGGGTAGTGTTTGAGGACGTGTTGGGGTATAGGAAGTTGGGTTTTGGATTCGGGGGTTTAGGGTTTTACGGTTTAAGGGTAGTGTTTGAGGACGCGTTGGGGTAAAGGAAGTTGGGTTTTGGATTTTGGGGGGGGGGTTTATGCAAAGCCGCGAAGTTGAGTGTAGTGGTTGAGTCGGTTGAGGAGTGTTGAGGTTCAGGAAGTTTAGGAAGTTCTGGGGGTTTTGGATTTCGGGGCTTTGGGGTTTAAGGGACTGGTAGCTAGAGGGTTCAGGGTTGCGGGGTTTGGAGTCGGAGATTTTGGAGTCTTCTGCCCCCAAGCCCTGTAGTTCCATAGGCCCTAAGTAGGATTTGGGCTTCAGGAGTGCGGGGTAATTACCCAGAGGCCCCATAGTAGTTCCAGTTCCTTTTTGGGGTTCATACATAGAAACCTATAAGGTAATCTCATAAAGGAGCTACTGTTGGGCCTATGGGGTGGAAGTTGAGGGAAGGTATGTACATGACCCATCTTGGAAGGCTGAACAATCAACCCCAAAAGCCCAAGACCTACCCAGACCCCGAAACCGTTAGACAAAAAGAAAGCCTGCTTAGGCCTAATTAACCATGGGACGCTAAGAAGAACCTTAACTGTTGGAGTTGTAAGAAGTTGTAAGTATCCTCCGGCTGATTATAACCCCAAAAAGCTTTGCGATGGCGAGCCGCCCCAAACTAGCTAGCCAGACCATCAGCCGCCAGGGCGTCAAAAAGGACGCCCACCACTGAAGGTCCTGGGCTGCCCTAAGACTTCGAAGGGCCCAAGGTAGGTATATACTATTTATAGGCGTCTAAGATGCTTTAAGCTTCAAGCTCCAGTGCAGCTACCGTTTGAAGACTTGGAGTCTTATGATTACTGCGGTTCAGGGATCGAGGGATTAAAAAATCTGGGCGATTGGGTGTTAGTGTTTGGTGAACCGGTCCGAAACCCTACACCCTATGATCCGAGCCCTCATTCCCCAGACCCTCCAATATACCCCTTTAGTTAGCCCGAAGTAGTAGGAAACCCCAATAAAACTTTAATTGAGGAATGTTTCTTTAATATATACTATCCGACGAGTTTTAAGGTGTATTCCTCGAGGGATATTGGCAGATCTGGGTCCCAACCCCCTTCACCCTAAACTTCCTACCCCCTAAACCCTAACCCCTAAACCCTAAACCCCTAAACCCTAAACCCTAAACCCCTAAACCCCTAAACCCCTAAACCCCTAAACCCCAAAACCCCTAAACCCTAAATTTCCATCCAGGGTGGCCTTGGGCCTTTGAGGCTTCAGGTTCAGGCTTGGGCCTTCGATGGCTTTAGGGTTTAGGGGTTTAGGGGTTTAGGGTTTTAGGGTTTAGGGTTTAGGGGTTTAGGGTTTAGGGGTTTAGGGGTTTAGGGTTTTAGGGTTTAGGGTTTAGGATTGAAGGTTTGTAGACGGCGACATTATTATCGTGCTCAACTCTCCCAACACCACACGGCACGAAAACCCCCGAGGCTCTCAACTTCTGCTGCGCTAGGGCTCCGTCTGTTTTTTTTATGGTGATTGCGGGAAAAGGAAAGTTCAAGGTTGTTCAGGCTATGGAAGAGCTGAACAAAAACTAAGCAGGAGCCAAGAAACTGGTTTCCATTGCGGCAGGTCCCTCGACCAAGATGGCACCTGATACAAGGGCGCCAAGACGGCACTTAGACTGCGACTTCAGGGCAGACGGCACCAACGAAGGGGCCCGTTCTTGTGCGGTGAGACTACACACTACTTAACGGAGGGACGCATAGGCGAAAGCAGTAGAAGGAACGTGGGTCGATGGCACCAACACATCACGATATCTCACATTCCGCTACCTATGCTTAGGGTTTCCTAAGGATAGATGTTGAAACAGATATGTGTATATATAGATACCCCCAAGACTCTTACAGGACAGAACTCTTATCGACAAAAAGGTTAAGGTAGCGTCGTTAGCCTAAACCCTAAACCCTAAACCTTAAACCCTAAACCCTAAGTCCCCCCCCCCGTTCCCCGCCTTGCAAAACAAACACCGCATAAGACAAACAGACCCCTAGAGGCTCCTGCGATGGTTCGGTTAAGGGTTTAGGGGTTTTGGGGTTTTGGGGTTTAGGGTTTAGGGTTTAGGGGTCTAGGGGTTTTGGGGTTTAGGGGTTAGGGTTTAGGGGTTAGGGTTTAGGGGTTAGGGTTTAGGGGTTAGGGTTCAGGGTGTCGGGTGTAGGGTCTAGGGTTTCAAAAAGGGTTGGGGGTAATTAGTAAGGGGAAGGTGCGGTAGTTTAGGGTACGCTTTTGCTTTGGAATGGGGGTTGGGGTGAGTTGCACTCCTTAACGCCCAATGCCCAAGCCGCAAATCCTAAACCTGCAACCAAACCTTGACTACCATAAACCCTAAACCCTGGATCAGCCTGCACCTGTTTCTAGGACTTGGGGGTAGAGGTAAACCCTGAAACCTAAACTCCAAATACTGAAGAGCTATCCCAAAGGGTCCTATGTATTGTTATGGGTGATACTTCCCTAAGTCATGATAGAAATTCCTAACATATGGAAGCCCTACATTCTACTATATCGGTACAAAGGACCCTTTGGGTTAGTACCGATATATGGCCTTGTTCAGGGTTCCCTCATGAAAGATGAGTACCAGGAGAAAGGGTATCCTGGGGATATCTGGGTACCCCAAGGGTCCAAGTACCCAATAATCATATACTCTGCAACATCCTAACCTACATAACTACTACCCTAAAACCGAATACCTAATTATTGGGTCCTTTTGGACCCTTGGGGGTATGGCAACCCTAAACCCCAAACCCTAAACCCTAAAACCCTAAACCCCCAAACCCTAAACCCCAAACCCTAAACCTTGACATCTTTGCGTATGGCAAGGCGCTAGCAAAGTGGAGAGCCATCCAAACCGCTCGTGGAAGCAAAGCCTCGGAATGGGATCCGAGTCGAAACGGCTTAGGACTTAGGCTTTAGGGGGTTTGGGGTTCAGGGTTTAGGGGTTTGGGGTTTAGCGTTTAGGGGTTAGGGTTCAGGGATTAGGGTTTAGGGGCTAGGGCTTAGGGAATAGGGTTTAGCGTTTAGGGATGAGGGTTTAGGATGGTTTAGGGGTTAGGGATTAAGGCTTAGGGCTTATACGACTTAGGGTTTAGGAATCAGGCCTTTTTCCGACTGCAGGTGCTTCCAGAATCCCAATTCGGCAAGGCAAGGCGGTCCAGTCTGGCTAAGGGTTTAGGGCTTTAGGGATTAGG